TATGCATTTACATACTTTATCAAATTTCTGATTATAACAAGATTATAAATTCTCATAAGCTAAATTTTTTTTTTTAGAAATTTATTTATCAAACAGTCAAAACTGGAGAAATTGTAAATATTTAGATATATTTTCATAATATATTATTTGGAAAATGTATATAAATTTAAATGGTAGGAAATACTAAAAAAAGTAAATATATTTGGACGTTGACAGAAATATGAGATATTAAATTTAAAACTTAAAAAAGATAACAGAGAAATCAACATTTAAAAATAAATTGATTTTAAGACACTTCAAAAACTAATAAGTTATCAACAAATTGTATGAAATGCACAAAATAAAGAGTTATTGAGTGAAATGACTAGAACTTATCAAATGAAAATTTAGTAACAAATTTGAGTTTTATTAATTTTTCACTAGTTTTTCTTTCTGCTAATTTTTGTTACATTTTATTATAACTTTCCAGTCCTGGTGGAAATAAGGTCCCCCCCCCACCAAAAAAAAAACAAAAAACTACAAAGCAATATTGAATCTAAGAAATTTAGAGAATATTAAAGTTGATGGGGAAAAAGATTTTTCAACAGAATAATTAACAGGTAAAAAAATAAAAATAAAAAATTTTTTTTATCAGCTTAACAAAAAAAAAAAAAAAGCATAAAACTTCTTGAATTAGATGTTTTTTGTGCTCACTGACCCATCACAATGCCTCATTTGACTTCACCAACCTGGCACTGGATACTCAAAGTTAGTCACCTGCTTAAACTTCTCTACCCAATCAGTAAATAATTTACTTAGAAGTAGAAGGAGGCATTATATAATGCCCCCATTCTACTTCAAAGGATAAATTTATTCTATGAGAATTGTCAGAATCTATTTTTGACACTGTTGACAATTGTAAACTAATTTATAGAATTCCAAATTTTGTTTGGAAATTAACTGAATGCCTTCTTGGCTTACTCAATGTTGTCAAAATTTCAGGCCATCTCATTATTACATATTAAAATATTTTATGAACAAATCTTTAAAAAATAATATTTCAAAAATGAAAATTTAAATTTATTAGATTTCCAAAGAATATTGAAAATGTCAAAATTTCTTTATTTCCAAACTGATTTAAATGTCACTTTTCACTTATTTTGATTAAATTTAAATCCAATTCACTGTTATTTTTCAAACATGTAAAATATAGAATGCTTTTTTCTCATATTAATGATTAAAAATGTAAGCAAATGAATCCTATAGGTCTTAAAGAAGCCTATCCTTCATCAAACAACATAAAGTGGTGCTACAAAATCAAACAGCCTTACCAAATAAGAAAAACCACATCATTTGAAGACTTCCAACAGCCACAAGAATTTGTAGCTCATATAAAAAGGAAAATGATATAAACAAGATGTTAATTTATCACACTCCATAAACAGAAAGTTGAGAAGGAAACTCTCATCAATAACAACACTGTTTGGTCAATGAAGGCTAAATATTTCCTGTATGGGAACAGTTACCTTCACCATCATTACCATTTCATTTCCTTAGTCAAGTATTTTACAATTCATTGTTTTTCTTCGTCAACAAATTTTAAATTAGTTGACAATACTGAAATTAAAATTAATTCAAATAGTCTATTTCATTCATTACTTCTAATAAAGAGTTTTAATTGTAAAACATTTACAAAAATCATAATCTGTTCATATTATCTTAATTCAGATTTTCCTATTTTCACTTTGCATGCAAGAATAAAATTAGTTAACTTTATCCAGTTTACTTTTTACTTGTTTGAGCATGATGGTTTCAATAACAATTTTATTATTTTTTTAATAAAAATCTTACCAAAGCAATCTTCTGAAATCATTTTTCTAGCATAATAGAAAGTTTGATTAGTTTCACCAGGAGCCAAAGAAAAGAAAGTCTTACCAGAATAAACTCCCCTCCAATATGGCTTCTGCACAAAACAAATACAAAATTTATGAAGGATCAAATCTTAATGAATATTTGTGGCTACAAAATAATGTGTGAAAAAAAAGAAGTCAGTGTGCACAGATTTCTATCCTTTTATTTTCTTACTTTTCATACACATCTCTTTGTGCATGCACCGTCTCCATTATTTATATTAGTCCCTGCAGATGTTAATTATTAGTTTTTATCACATACTCTCCTGATTGAATAATAAAACCAAAGATGAAAAATTAAGGAAATAAAAAAAAAAAAATTACCATCTACACTGAAACAATTTTCTCTTTATTTATTCCCTTCAATAATTCCTTGTCCACATAGGCAGTCATCAGTCCTTTTGTGACTTCCATCAAACTTCATGGCCTACATAATTCTCTTGTTTCACATCATTACTGACCTCATTGGCCAACAAACTAATAACCCAGCATATATCAAGGAAATGCCATTAACTGTAAGTTTATTTTTGGAATGAATGTTCATTACTCTTCCCTTCTCCCACTTATTTGTGTAATGTGCATCCAGTGGGTTTCAAACAAAACATCTTGCCCAATTTTCATAAATTCCAGAATCTCCTTATCACTAATAACTGCTATTAATATTGTGCTTGATGCTTTCATTCATATCTGAATACTACTCTTTGAGGTACTTATTCCTTTGCCTGTCTCAATTTAGGCAAAATAATGATGTACCAGAACACTGCTTCAACTGGTTAGATATTCCCTTTTTCTTATATGGCCATGATCATTCAATATCTCTCCATAAACCCTATACCACTCAGTCTGTTTATAGGGCTAAAGAACATTTAATATTCCATTTTTTAAACAATTTTGAGCAAAAGGTAGTACCATTAAGCAATAATATTTCATTCACTGGATCTCTCTCCAAGAACATTCAACAAATCTGTAATTTCAGTTTCTATTTCCAACTTAATTTCCTGTCATATGACTACTCTTTCAAGTCCACAGTCAATGATTGAAAGATTGACCTGTCGCATGTCAGGAGCCAATCTTTTCAAGTTTTCCATAGTTTTAATTTCTCTTCTCATGTACTCCCAGCATGGGATCAATTGATCACCTATTTCATAGTGAAGATGGCTTGTGTTCAGTGCAATCGATTTCACTGGTTCGTTTCCTTCACCAGAATCCATGTTGTCTAGTGGATTTTATTTGTTGTGCATCTGCCAGAAATGACAGGTAATATTTTGACTCTACTGTTTCTTCAACATTGGGCAATCCTGCTGAAAAAGGTGTAAATGTATCAACAAAAGAAATAGCACTGTTGAAATATTATCAACAATTAAAGGTGAAATGTAAAAATCATACATCATCTGAGGCTGTTTCATCCCAATCACTTCTTTTCTACCCTTGAGACATCTGTTTGTTAATAAATGTGGGAGTGCTACAACATATTTTCACTAATACATGATGAAGGGGATGGGTGAGGCAGCCAGTTTTCTCCCATAATATTTGACTTTAAGGCACACACTATAACTTTGGATAACTCTTTTCTGTGTGTATTTCGTTTATATACACTTCAGTTTGGTTACAGACATGATTAACAAAGAATGTCCTTGTTAAAATAAACCAAGACAGCTATACCATAAAGTGCTTTTCAATTTGAGCCAGGATTTCTAAGTTTCCAAAATTTCCATTGAAATCAATATGAATATGTCTAATAGGTTGCTAACAAGCAAACCCTAAAGTTATTGAAAATTGTGTGGACTTTTGGCAAACTTATTAGTCATACCAACTTCCTTGGGGTTATGGATTTGTGGTTAGTTTCATCATGAAGCAAGGGAAAGATTCCTAGTATGGGTTCTGATGCCAGCACAGAAATGCAGAATTGACAAACAAATTATGAAACTGCAGCCATAGAGAAAAATGCACTTGAATGACTTTCCCAACAAAAAAAAAAAAAAGCCAATGTGTACTAAGTGCTGTCCCTTTCTACTTTGGTATATCTACACTTTCCTCACGCATATGCTGTCCCCATTATTAACAATTCCCATTGCATGTACTTTTCTTCTCAGTTTATATCACACAAGGACAATTAATTTTCTCATCTGGCGTAACAAGTGATAAAATCTATATATAATGGCTGGCTGTCCATATCCAAGTATGCCTGTCTACTAGGGTTGCTAGGCAATCCCTGTTGCAGTCGCTCACACAAATACATTTGTATTTGCTCAACACCCACAGAGCCCACCTGTGGTTTATACTGCAACTCTGCTGAGTGAAATGCAGTTACAGTTACTGAGGGAGAGTGCATTATCTGGCATAGTCAACAGTCTGAACAAGGTCAGTATGTTAAGAACCTTGGTCACAATGACTTGTGTCAACACAATCATTGACAGCTCCAAATAGTTCTTTCTACCAACTTCATTCAGAAGGCTTGGATCAACACATAGTATAGTTTACAGGCACTTTCTAAAGGCGCTGTATGCTGGAATGGCATTCTTAGGCTGATAACATTAAAAAGTTATCAACCTTAGGGAAATTCAAACATTGGCCTCATGGTCAAAAAGCAAACATTTAAACTACTCAGTCACATACCTATATAACAAGTGATAGGGTAAAAGAAAACAACATAAACAACAAAGAAAATGTAAAAAAAAAATCCTACAAAATATTTAATTCTTGTCATAAATACTTTCTAATTGCTTCCAAGAAATCAGGATCATTAAAATCAATTCTCTTTATTTTATTTCTGCTGTACAGAGGTTTTAACTGTGTAGACAACCTTGAAAATGGTCATTTCTGATCAGTCATTTATGCTAATAGATACATTTAATTGAGCAACATACTTTCCAAGGCTTGGCTCTTAAGCTGGGACTGTGCAATATCATGTAATGCTTGTTGTGTCTGTTCCAACAACAGTTCACCTTTATGAACAACTCCTTCTAATTTGTGGGCAGCATCTTGATTCTCAATTTCTAACCTCCTTAAACTGGCCAGCTGAAAATTAAAAATGTAGAATTAAAGAACATCCATCTTAAATTAATACTGCAGTTTTCTTGTACCACAATGAAAACACAAATTAGAAACAATTTAAAAGATAAAAAGAAAGAAAGAAAGAAAGAGAAAAAGAAAGAAAGAGAGAGAAAAAAGAAAGAAAGAGAGAGAAAAAAGAAAGAAAGAGAGAGAAAAAAGAAAGAAAGAGAGAGAAAAAGAAAGAAAGAGAGAAAGAAAAAAAAAAAGAAAGAAAGAAAGAAAAAAAAAAAAAAAAAAAAAGAAAAAAGAAAGAGAAAAAGAAAGAAAGAGAAAAAAGAAAGAAAGAGAAAAAAGAAAGAAAGAGAAAAAAGAAAGAAAGAGAAAGAAAGAAAGAAAGAAAGAAAGAAAGAAAGAAAGAGAAAGAAAGAAAGAGAAAGAAAGAAAGAAAGAAAAGAAAGAAAGAAAGAAAGAAAGAAAATTGATTTTCTATTTTTATTCAGTTTAGAAAATGGCTTTATTTTTTATCCCTGTAACTGATTTGTTTTCAATTAGTTTTGGGTTACCTTAAAAAACAGTTATGTTTTTGTTGCTAAATAGCAGCATTTACATTTTAAAAAAATTACATTTAAATACAATGTAACATTTGCCAATAGTGTGCATATTTTTAAAAAAATTAGTTTTAATATAAATGATGAAAGTAAATAAGCAACATTTTTGGCATACTATAGCTTTTTAAGAAAGGTAAATTAAAAAAAAAAAAAAGAAAGAAAAGATCTGTGTAGTTTATGGAGAAAGTACTTCTAATGAGCAAATATGAAAAGTGGTTTGTGAAAATTCATGCTGGATATTTCTTATTGGCATGCTACATTGCTGAGTAAACTAGTTAAGGTTGATAGTGATGAGATCAAGATATTAATTAAGAATAATCAATATTATATAAACATGAGAAATAATTAAAATACCCAAAATATGCAAATCATTTGCAAAGTTTATGTTCATTGTTTTGATATGTAACTTCCACATGGGTGGAAAAAAAAATGAACTGTCTTATTTCCATGTAATTTTGCTACTTAAATTATTACAGGTAATGAAAAGTAGATTAAAAACCAAACCATAGAAAGTGAAAACCCTTACTTCTAGGAAATTCTAAAAATTCATTATACCTAATGTATTTTTATAAATGAAAAATCTTTCTTCAAGTTTTCTTTTTAGTTTCAATTGAAATATAAATTTTTTAAGTCCAGAAAGCAAAATACTGTGGTATAATTTGAAATAGAAATTAGAAAGATTTTTAGTTGATTCATATTTTTTTCAGTAAAACCATTCAAAATGACCAGCAGTGTACATATTTTAATTTTTTTTTTTTGTTTCAAATCAGATTAATTTAAATTTAAATTTGCTAATTTTCCTCAACATTTCAGAAAAATATATTGTCTTTTACAAAATTTTTTAAAAATGAGAATTAACTTCTGTTTACAAAAAAAAAAAAAAAAAAAATTTTTAAATTTTTTTTTTTTTTTTTTTCACTAACAAAAAAATACAAAACATTCTAATCAATATAGAATTTCTGTTTGAAATACACCAGAGTATTTTGCTTACTGGAAATAGTATAAATTTATTTTTTTTAATCATTTAACTTTCAATTAAAGCTAAAATGAAAGCTTCAAGAAAGCTTTTTCATTTTTGTTTTTTAAATTCATTTTTAAAACTTAGGTATTGAAAATTATTGGAGGTACCTACCACAATTAAAAATAAATTGAGAAAAGAAAACTAATTTCAAATGTAAATGAAATAAAGTATAAAAATAATTAAACTAAACATTAAGTTGAAATTTAAATAAAGGGTTGCTTTCAATCATTTATTTATCAAAATATAACTAAAAAAAAAAAAAAAAAAAAAAAAAAATATTTTTCTTAAGTAAAACTAAAAGGTTTATGAGCATAAGGGGAACAACCCTTAAAAATCGTAACCTAACAATGATGCTGTTTATAAAACACCATACTTATAAAAAAAAAAAAAAAAAAAACGAAAAAAAAACATTTAGACACACAAAAAAATTATTTTTAATTATTGTAAAATTTTTGGTGAGATGATTTGTATTAAGCTTTTCAAATTCCACTTAGTAAATATATTCTTCACTTAATAACCTATCTTTATCAATGTCTGGAAGAATTTTAAAATGTTTTTGAAACTTTATAATTAAAAAAAAAAAAAAAAAAATAATTCTTGTAAAAACTCATTATTCACTGAAAATTTTTTTTTCTTCAGACTGTAATGTCCTTAATATATATTATTTATAGAATGAATGAAAACTTTAAACTAATTAAATAGTTTTATTGTAGTTTTTATTTTTCGATTTGGAGCAGAATTCTGGCAAGTTGGAAAAAAAATTGGTAATATACATTCTCTAAGGTGTCTTGCTTTTAACTAATAAAAAAACATTTTGTTGGCGATTTTAAATTCTAGAAAGGGGGAGGGTTAACAAATGTTAAAAAAAAAAAAAAAAAGATTTTTTTAACAAGATTTTCTAAAAATAATTTTATTTATTTGTGAATAAGCCCTGAAAGTATCATTAAAATCCTACAATTATTGATTTTTGCAAGAGTTTCAAAATTTATATTTTTCATTGGAAATGGTGGCATGAAAAAGTCAATTACCAGATCTATTAAACTGCTGACAAAAAAAAAAAAAAAAAGATTTTAACACAAATTTCGAATGTGTTAAAAAGGAGTAAAAAAGGTTTAAAATAATTAAAAAATACTTTGGTCTTTCCTCTTAATAATATTAACATTTTGATGATAAAATTTTGTTTTTAAGTTTGTGGCCTTTTAAATTTTTTTCAGCAAATTATGCAAGGTATCAAACTTTTGCATATTCACATTAAATTTTCTTATTGATAAAACTACAAATGCAAACCTGCTTATATTTACTGATTTTTTCTCCATTTTAAATGGAATATTCAAAAATGAATTTCATGTTCTTTTATAAATATACTTTGAAAAAAAAAAAAAAAAAAAAAAACTAATTTTCTTATTGAAAAAAAAAGAAGAGCTACCCTAATCTTATACTTATGTATCATTAATAGCTATTCCAAAACATTTAATTTATATATAATACATATTGGTTACGTGAAATAAGAAAACATTCTTTAATTTTTTGTGAATAAAAAAACTTTACATAAAAATGACAAGGATATCAAGAAAAAAAAAAATACAGGCATCTTGAAACCATTTTTGAATTTGTTTATGATATTAATGGAAAAGATTGAATTGATACGAGTACAGAGAATAAAAAATACAAAAAATAAAACTTGAAGAATGACTAGCCTATTCATGCATATTATTTGATCATGAATTTGAAAAAATGGCTGGAAATATGATTTAGATTTTTGGTTTACATTTTGAGATAAGTTTTGATCAATAATGGCATTTAATGGTTTCATGTCAGATTATGAAATTCAATGTTTTTTTAAGTGCTAGATATTATAATAAATTGAACTTAAATAAATTTTTCAGGATATATTTATTTAAGCAAAATATTGTGCAAGTTTCAGCTTATATCAGCACTTTGTTCTGCTTTTGATTTTCTTTCACCTCCAACCAATTCTGGCAATGGAAATTGACAGGAACAGGTTTTGGTGAAAAATAAAATAATATTTAAAGTTAGCTCTATTTTTCGTCCAATAAAAAAAATAAAATAAGACTATCCCTCCAAATTATACTCAAAATGACCATTATCTTTTCTTCACAAATTTTCGAGCCTGTTAAGCCATAAAAAAACGCTATAAAAAAGCATGTTAAGCCATAAAAAACGCTATAAAAGGGGTCACAGGGAAGTTCAACAGGCAGTCAACAGGTGGCCACAAAGGAGACCGGTCACGTTCAGCAGCTGTCAGCAGGAGAGCACCAACCACCGTCAACATGTGTGAACTACTATGAGAGATCGACCAGATCCGAAAAAACGGCTTATGAACTTTACCACAAGGTAGCTGTCCCAAACCCTCACGTTCCTGTTGAAATAAACCACGTAAATCTATTTCTGCTGTTGTCGTATTTCTTTCTTGCAACCATACGCTTGTCTATAACACTGGTGTCAGAAGCGTACAGCAAGAGAAATATGGCCGACTACACGAGCTTCACCCGAGCCGAACTATTTACTCTCATCAAGGAACAGAAAACACTACTATTCAACTTGAAAACGGGACCAACACAGCCTTCCGAAGCCACGATACAGGAAATTCAAGCCGACATAAACGACATGCTGACTGCCCTAAAATCAACTACTTCAACACCTCCCACCGCTCAAACAAACGGCGATTACAGCTTAATGATGCGCCAACAAACTATACGCGACACATTGAAGCTAGAGAAAACTTTTCACCCTGGACACGACGTGAACCGATTCATCACGGCCCTAAACAAAGCATACACAATCCACGTCACGCCAGAACTCAGCACCTATCCCAGCCTGGAATGCGAATTCGCTTAGTCTGCTAAAGATTTACTGGACCAAAGTATCTTTCAGCAAATGGTTGACTCAAAAAGGACATATCCACCTTCGAACAACTGAAGGAATACTTATTAGGAGCCCACGGAAGCCAGATGACTAACTTCCAACACCTCAGTCAAGCCTGGGACCTGGAACGGCGAGACGGCGAAAAATTAACAGACTTCGCGGGTCGACTCGAAAACACCCTTAGAGAGGCAGCCGTCCACATAAAAAAACAAATACAAAAAAGACAAAAATACAGACTTAACAGTCGATGGACTTATTTCCATCATCGGCGCTATGCTAATGAGCGAAAAGGTGAAAATTTGGAACTCAAATCTCTACCCACATCTCGTCAAGACAATGGACAACCACTATTCAGCCATTGGCATAGCCTCCGAAGCTCAAATATACCTTGATCGCGGTGTAAAAAATCCAACGACACAACTTCGCACGACACTGTGTATTTCACACAGAAACCACAGCGGTCAAACCAAGAAACGCGCCACTCCGACCCAGCAGGCAACCAAACCCACAGCAGACGGGCCTCACCAACCCTCCCGAACATGGCCACCATCCGACACGCAGAAACCATCAGCACACACCACGAATCAGCGTGTGCAAGAACTACCTCAGAGGTCGCCCCTGCCACCATGGACGCAACTGTGTATATCGCCACCCACCTCGCACTCGGGCACAGGCCCATATCGCCGCAACGAATGACAATATACAAGCCATAAATGATGTGGAACAGGATTTTCGCTTCGGGCAGGACGAGATGTGATGCCTCGTTCGCCATGCCCCCCCTACGTCAGCCATCACACCTTCAACTTTCAAGGACTCGCTCACCATTCACCGCTCGTCCAGTCCACCTTCAACTTCAGGGACATCACCTTCTCTGGCGTCGCAATGCTAGACTCTGGATGCTCCACCTGCATCCTACCAATATCTCAGTTACCCAGAGAAGCCAAGAAACTCATGACCTGCTCCGACGTCGT